ATATATATATATATATATATATTTAAAATATATAAAACCAAGTGCAGTGACTCTTGCCTATAATCCCAGTATTCTCGGAGGCTGAGAAGGGACTGCTTGAGTCCAGGAGTTCAAGACCAGCCTGGGCAACAGTACAAGATCTTGTCTCTGCAAAAAAATTAAAAAATTAGCTGGACATGGTGGTACATGCCTCTAGTCCCAGCTACTTGGGAGGCTGAGGCAGAAGAATTGCCTGAGCCCAAAAGGGTGAGGGTATGGTGAGCTGTGATCATGCCACTGCACTCAAGTCTGGGTGACAGAGTGAGAGCAACAAACTTGGATGAATCTCAAAGGAATTACCCTGAGTGAAAAAAAGCCAAGCCCAGGCCAGGTGCAGTGGCTCGTGCTTGTAATCCCAGCACTTTGGGAGGCCAACCAGGGAGAATCTCTTCAAACCAGGAATTCAAGACCAGTCTGGGCAACACAGTGAGACCTTGTCTCTAAAAGAAAACAAAGGTGTGGTGGCACACACCCATAGTCCCAGCTACTCAGGAGGCTGAGGTAGCAGGATCGCCTGAGCTCAGGAGGTCAAGGCTGTGGTAGCCATGATTGTGCCACTGTACTCTAGCCTGGGTGATAGAGCAAGATCTCAACGCAAAAAAAAAAAAAAAAAAGTCAATCCCCAAAGGTGACATACTGTATTATCCCATTTATGCAATATTTTTGAAATGACAAAATGGAGAAGAAATTGGTAGTTGCAGGAGTTAGGAATGGTGTGTGCTTAGGGAGGTGGGTGTGGCTGTAAACTGGCCGCGATCTTTGTGATGATGGAAGCGTTCAGTGTCTTCACTGTGGTGGTGGAGACGTAAACCTCCACACATGATAAAGCTGCAGAGAACTAAAACACACACACACACACACACACACACACACACAAAGTAAGTATAAGTAACTGAGGAAATCTGAAAAGGACAGCTACATTGTGTCCATGTTCACATCCTGGCTGCAGTACTGTACGATAGTTCTGCTGGGAGAACTTGGGTAAAGTCTACAAGCGACCTCTCTGTCTTATTTCTCACAACTGCATGTGAATCTACAACTGCCTTAATGAAAATTTCAAATACAAATTATGAAATACTTCAAACTATTCGGGCGAATACAGAAAACACTTGAATAGTTCACACACCCACGACCCTGAATCAGCAGATGCCAGCGCTTGGCTTTGCTTCAGACTCACCTACATACAAGCTCGTCCTACCACCTGTCTCTTCCCTGAAGAGCAAGTGTTTTTGTGCGTGATTCCATCTTTAATATATATATCAAAAAGGGGGGGCATTATTCCAACTGCTTTTCACAGAGTGTAATGACTAAGAATGTGGGTTTCAAGCAGAATGCCTTGTTCTAATGTTGACTACACCACTTACTAACTTGGGCAGGTGACTTGACCACTCTGTGCCTCAGTTTTCTCATCTGCATAATAGAACTGATAAACAGTATCTCATAAAGCTGTTTTCTTTTCACTCATTCATTCACTCATTCATTTATTCATGTAAAGATAAGATCTCACTCTGCTGCATCATTCATTTGTTTACTTATGTAGAGACAGGAGTTCACTCTGTTACCCAGGCTGAAGTGCAGTGGCGTGATCATAGCTCACTGCAGCCTCAAACTCCTGGGGTCAATGGATCCTCCCACCTCAGTCTCCACAGTAGCTGGGACTACAAGCACACGTCACTACATCGGACTAATTTTTTGTTTTTGTAGAGCTGGGATCTTGCTATGCTGCCCAGGTGAGTTTCAAATTCCTGGCATTAAGCAGTTCTCCTGACTCAGCCTCCCCAAGTTCTGGAATTACAGGCATAAGCCACTGCACCTGGCCTGCTTATTTTCTTTTTAAAAATTGTATAAAGTGCCGGGCTCGGTGGCTCAGCCTGTAACCCCACACCTTTGGGAGGCTGAGGTGAGTGAATTGCCTGAGTCCGTGGGTTCAAGACCCACCTGGGCAGGAGAGACCTCATCTCTACAATAAATCAAAAAATCAGCCGGGCGTGGTAGCGCGCGCCTGTAATTTCAGCTACTCGAAAGGCTGAGGCGGAAGGATCGCCGGAGCCCAGCAGGTCGAGGCTGCAGTGGCCGGGAGTGGCCACTGCACTCCAGTCTGGGTGACAGAGTGAGACTCCAACTCAAAAAAAAAAAAAATTGTATAAAGTATACAATATGATGTTTTGACATATATGTACATGGTTAAATAATCAGTACAGTCTAATTAATATGCCCATTTATAGGTCTATTGAGATGATTAATGGATTAATAAAAGCAAAGCATTTAAAATATTGGCTTGGCACATGGAAAGTTCTCAGGCCGGGCCCGGTGGCTCAGCCTGTAATCCCGCACTTTGGGAGGCTGAGGTGAGTGGATTGCCTGAGCCCGCGAGTTTGAGACCCGCCTGGGCGACTTGGCGAGACCTCATCTCTATAATACATCAAAAAATTAGCCGGGTGTGGTAGCGTGCGCCTGTAGTTCCAGCTACTTGGAAGGCTGAGGCGGAAGGATAGCCAGAGTCCAGCAGGTCGAGGCTGTGGTGGCTGGGAGAGGCCACTGCATTCCAGTCTGGGCGACAGAGTGAGACTCCAACTCAAAAAAAAAAAAAAAAAAAAGAAAGGTCTCAGAAAATTATGGCTATCAACATCATCATTAAATTCAACTTTATGTTTTAGATTTAGCCATGTTGATTGCGGGGATTATGTAGTTTTGTTAGCATCTCTTGAAGTTTTCCATTTTGCATGATTAAACTGCAATTTACCTCCCTGTCCCTCTCCTGCTGGACAGAACAGCTGGCCCCATCTTTCCTTTACACAGCAGTGCTGTGATGGACATGACACTCACTCTCCACACCTGACACACAGTCCCTCAGCACCAACCTCCAGACTGGCGTTCTCCCTGGCCCCACTTCCCTTCTATCCCCCTCTGCACACTGATGTGCTCTGCAGTCATCCTCTCTGCTCACGGGATCATCAGGCGGCAAGGGCAGGGGCCCCAGCAGCCCACTGGCCATTATTCCCACATACTGGTCCAAGACCCGTGGCAAGGAAGCAACAAGTGTTCCTTGGCAGCCTGGCTCTGCATGACCGTCTTGTCAGTCTAATTTCCTATTTACACACTCACGTGTGAATTATTCATTGAGACTTATCATGGGACAAGTAATGCTTTATATATATATTAACTCACTGGATTTCCATAAGAGCACTGAGAGGTTAAGTAACATGCCCAAGGTCATCCAGCTAGGAACTAGTAGAGTTGGGATGTGAATGCAGGCAGCGTGCTCCAGAACCTTTGTTCTTAACTACTACACCTCACTACCGTCTCCTCTCCCCCATCAACGAGCACCTTAAAATCTGATTCCCAGCCTCTAGCACAGGGCTTAACACACAACAGGTATAATACATATTTCTAGAATGAATGAATGAATAAATGAAAGGGACTTGGGGACCTTACCAGAAAGACCAGGTCAGCTTGCCAGGGGTTAGAGAAGGAAGAAACTAGGATT